AGATCAAAATTAGAGATTCTGATCTGATGAGAAGACAAATCTTAAAAGAACATTTTGTCATAGTAAATATGTGACTTCTTGAACTTTATCATCAATATTAATCAAATGATACAGCTGAATGCTTGCTGGGCTACAGTATTGCTAATTAATTAATAAGATATCAAACCTATATCTTAAGTTAAATAACTCCCTATCCCCTAATCCAAATTGCTTGATATCTTCTGTAATTATAATATGGACAATTGTAAATTTACAGTGTATATGAAAATATTTCTAATTAATCTCTGGTAAAATGATATGATATTTACACTTGCAATTCAAATTTTTGAAAATTTAAATTTGTATGAAAACCATTTTCATATGTTAACAGCTATTTTAATATATTCAAAGAGATTAGTTGTATTATTATTAATTGTTTATATGTGAACACAATTAGCATATTTAACAATAACATCAATGCGAAAAACTATTTAAGTATTCATTGAGTTCAGCTGTTATTACTATCAATTATTTATATATTAACATAATTAGCATATTTAACAATAACATAATGCCTGTAATCATAATGTGTTAACAAAACATGATGTAACTTTTCTTTATTGCATCTTTCTTTACGGATCATTTAAGTAATTAAACTTTAGTTGTTTTCTGCTCAAAACTAATACTTTAATTTACATACAGTAATGAGAAAATATTTTTGTTAGCAAAATAACATTTTTGTTGTTAATGTGTTATTTTTCATTACAGTAATTAATTGAATAAAACTTATCATATATTGCAGTGTTACAATGCTTGAAAATAGCTACTTTTTTTTGTTTTATTTTGAGAGTTATTATACTCTCAAAATAACTTTCAAGCATTAAGAAAATGACTGAATGATCAAGTGTGTAAAGACATTAGCATGTTTTCTGAAGTTTAAGTTCAGGTCAGAATCTTAAAGTTTTTTTATGAATTATTTGATCTGGATATGTTAAACCACATCCTTCATTATCCAGCTACCCATTGTTGACTTGGTCAGACCTATAATGGATGTTAAAAATCTGTTTTGCATAAGACGAAAAGAATTAAACAGTTATAATAATTAACATGATTTCATCAGATGGGCTAGAAATCTCAAAAGTGCTAGGATTTAAGTGGACTGTTTTTATCTTGGTCTCTAGAAAAGCAGAAAACTCTGTGTTTAAAGAAATCAGTGGCATAAATTTGATTGATATTTCATTAGCAATTTTTTTAATACAATAAATGGTTATAATCTATATATATAAAAATGAATGTATGCCTGTCTATGTATGTCCTTCATGCATTACCACACCGTTTATCTGATTACCATGAAACTTTGGGAAGTTTTTTAATACACTCCCGCAAAGGTTTCTGGCATAGTACATTTATCCTACGATAGATGGCACGAGTGTATACTAGCATTTCATCGTGAGTTCAATCGATTTCAAATTGTGAAGACCATTTCCCCCTTCAAAAAATATCTCTATATATGCATTTGTGAACTGTTATTTACGATATTTGTAATAATTTTTGTTTAATCACTTTATTTCAACTATTTTTTGCTAATTATGTATTCGCTCGAACTTTGTTAAAACCTTAACTGATGTAATAAGTTTGCACGATACCTTAACTGTATCCCGAACAACAACCGAAGTTGTAGGAGGAAATTCGCCTATTTTACTGATCTAGGGATCCCCTTTTCCAAATTTTAATATCATCTCAAAATAATTTAAAAAGACAAATTAGAATAAAATGGTTTATTATCCAACTATCAGAAATTTCACAACATGTCAAGGAAGAGAGGAAGGAGCAATTAAATAATTAAAATTGTAAAGGATTAAAAAATATATATAAAAATGGGGAATATCGCACTTCTGACAATCGCTTCAAGTGTGTGGGCTAAATTTGGAGAATCCATGCTTCTCGCATGGACAACCATATGTGGCCAGCTCACACGTTGGAAAACCTGATTTATTTGTGTACGCACCAGACGGAAAAACAAAAAATATCGTGTATCCACAAGCACTCCAATAAATAAATAGAATTGAAACGACACTTTGAAATGTTTTCCCAATGAAAATTAATAATAATAATATAATAATAATAAGTTTCAATAAAAATGATAAAATGTAAATTGAATTTTATTATAACGAGTTTGCTTGAATTTTGTTTCTTCTGAGATCGCAGTAATGCACGACGGGTAAGCTAGTTTCTTATAAAGAAAACGGTAAAAATATCTACATTCTATATGTATTGCATAGCAAATTATTTAAAAGTTGTTTTCAATACAATTAGGAAATTGGAATTTATAGAACTTCAAATATATCTATTTAGGGAGAAAAAATATAGCTTTTAAAAATTCAAGGATTTATTCATTTTCAGCCTAGATCAGTTCATTATTTTATTTCAATTAGAATAAATAATTCATGATAGTATCTTTTATGTCAGAAAATATAGAAGAAACGATAAAAGTATTTTAATAAAATGTTAGTCCTCTGTTAAAAATTGCAATTTTGATTAATTTACGTACTCATTTAATTATTTTTTGGCTTGACAACTGGTTGGCTGAAGCAGTAAAGGTATTACATTACTTCTATGAAGGACCTAGATTTTTGGCTGAACCTCTGTAACTCAAATTCTAAATTTTTTTTTCCAACCAATTTGAACTAACCTAGTTCGACTACTATTTATTTTCTGGCATTATATAAAAATTTCAAATTACAAGGAAACTTTTAGTCTTTAAGCCTTTTTGAGCCTATCAGTGGCATAGTGGATAATACCACTAAATACTGATGGTTGGTCATAGGTTCATGCCTTTATAACAAGCAGGCCATATGGAATTTTCTGGGTTTTCTGTATGGGTCTAAACCCTAATAAGGGATTATTTCCCATAGAAAGCCATTCTTAAGAAGGGCTTCCCATAGGAAATGGGGAGTATCTACTTGGCAGATTGCCTGTGCAATGCATTGCCATATACCAGACATGGGCAAATGCAGCTCTTTTTGAATTACATGCGGCTCTTGCTGAAAGTGTTAATTTCTGCTTTTTATTATTATTTTTACAATTTTATTTCCACAATTTTGTGACAATATGTTTATTAAAAAATTTAATATTTGTTTTATATTATATAATAAAATTGCGGTACAGAACTGTTGTAAAAAATGAAAAAGTACAGAACTGCGGCTCCCATGCATTTTGCAAAACCTACATTTCAGCTCCCACTGAACTCTTGCTTGCCCACCCCTGCCATATACCATTAATCCAGTCCAAGCCTTTAAGTCTTTTTATTGATTTTCTTTATGCTGTCTTCATGAATACAAAATAACAACAATTAATTTAAATTAACTTTAAAGACATAATTATTTTATCAAGTATTTTATTATATAAATTTTATTTAGTATAGAATAATTGGTTTGTTAATTAATAACATTTATTTTTAGCCAGATTATTATTTTTATAGCTCAAAAATTGCTTATTATGTCATGATTTTAAGCAACTTTACTCCTACAGTTATCTGGAATAAAAACAATAAAATTGTTAATAATTATGATTCTTTACTCATAATTTAATACTCTTTTATATTGTTAGTAAATGATAATCTGGTTTTGTTGTATGTTATGTGAATTGAAATTAAAATTTGTTTTTATTTAATTAAGTATATTTAATTAAAAATGTCGACTTTTATCTTGAAATGAGAAAAAATTACCGTTTATTTATACTAAAGAATGGTTGCATAAACAAATTTTAATGAAAATTTATTTGCATTTTTACATGCAATTAATTTATATCAAAAATTTGCAGAAAATATATAAAATTACAATTGTTTGTTAATTTAGAAAGTTATTGTTTTCTAACTTTTTGAATATTTTTGATAAGATTCATAAATGAATAAGAGTGCATTGAAAAGTTAAAAATATGCAAATATACAAGAATTCGGAACAGAAACGATCTATTATATATGAGAAACAAGAGTAAAAGAATTCTACATTGAAGGAAATTGGTGTTTATATTTTTTATTTTATAGTATTTAGTATAGTAACATTTGTATATTTCAAAATATTTTATAGTATTATGTTTATTTAATCACACTGAACTGATTTTTAAAGTTACAAGCGAAACATAATACTTCCCAAGTATTTTCAGACCTGAAAAGACCATATTGTGGGATAGTCACAAGCATAAAATTTCTTGGAAGAAAAAATTTTGAAATGTTTTATATTATTATTGTTTTATTTGCATTGTTTGTGCTTCATTTTCTTGTAAATTTGTAAAAAGTTAGAAAGTTACAACTCACAGACCTTCTTCTACACCTTCTATACTTATTCCAGCAGGTATGTTTATTGGAAAAAGCAAATGTTTTTGGTCACTTTCAGAGATTTTTGTCAGATTATTATACACTATTTTTTTGTTGCCTGTCACTGGTTGTTGTGTACATAGTTTATAAATTTATTATGTTATATTTAAATTTGAATATTGTCATGTTTCATATAGAATATTCCATTTGGAATTTTTTTGATCAATTGCACTCAATTTATGGAACATATAAAGGTCTCTGAAAGTGACCAAAAGTGTTCAATTTTTTCCAATAAACATACCTTCTGGAATAAATACAGAAGGTGTCTGTGAGTTATATTATTTTCCAGCTTTTGGTGGTGTTTCAGTTAGGCTGTTTTCTTGAGTTTACTGCTTGTTTACTTTTTGCTGAAAAAATTATTAGTCAAACATAATTTACATTTCTTGTATGTAGAATGTAAAGAAAAATTTTTGACACTTTTTATTGTCATAACAAAATCACTCTGTTGTAATTGACATATCATACTGTATCATTGCTGATATGATACATTTATGAAAAATCGGTTGGATATAGTTTGGTTTCTATAATAAATTTCCTTGTTTATATAAAAAATAAGTAAATAAATTAATTATAATTCTTATTTATTTTTATGGAGAGAATATTTTTATTTTCATAATGTTAACTAAAGAATTATTTGATTTTGCAGAAGAAGTAACATGTAGTCCAGATAATTTTCGATGCAAGAATGGACGCTGCATTCCTCGGCGGTGGGTTTGTGACTACCAACGAGATTGTGAAGAAGGTGAAGATGAGCATCAGTCTTGTCGTAAGTATTTTATATTATTGTTCAAATTATTTAAATAAATATTGTTAAAAATTAATACTTTTTTAAAAAAGTAATAACTTTTCCAATATACACAAAATGCTAAAATAAGCAATAACATAAAGAAAGGGATGAAGTAATAAAATGGATAAGTGAATCTTTGTTATACAGTGATAATTATTAAAATTGAAGAATTGTTTTCAACTGCACTAAACAGTTTTTTTTAGATTTCAGACTAACAGAATTCTAATTACAAACAACATTCTAGAATAAGTCATACTGGAAAACTGCACAAAAAATTTAAAATTGATTTGTGGTATTAGATATTTGTAAAACAGTATATAATTTTTTCTTATATTTAACATTACTAATCAATTTTAAACTTATCATGTGATTTTTCAATTTAAATGTATGAATTATTCTAGAACATAACTATTTACAAGTAGAATTTTGTAAGTTTTGAAATTTAAGATTACTACTCAGTGCAATTGAACACATTTTATTACAATTATTAAATTATTGATAGAATAAACAAAAAAAAATTAATACAGGAGTAGCATTTAATGAAAGACTGAAAATGTTGAAAATATATCCAGATATTAAATTCTTAATTAATCAATAGTTCCAGATGCCAAATTTACATCTTATATTATCTTCTTTTTCTTTGTCTTTGCTTTTCCCCATGTTTATATGGTGTCACCATTCCCATCTTTAAAGTGTCTTCCTACTTCTCTCTATCCAGGGCATCCCTCTCCCAAATCCTCTGCTACCTTGTCTTTCCATCTGAGCTTTGGTCCTCCCCACTTTCTCCTTCCTAACACTTCCAACTTCCCAATCCTCTTTAAAATGTAATTTTCACTTCTCTCTACAAATTGTCTTTATCTAGTTTTCTATATCTTTTTACTTATAGGATTCACCTTGACACTTCCTAATTCAGTTCTTCATCACACCACATATCCATCTCACCATTCTCATCTCTGCTGTCTCAATCTTCTTTTCCTGGGCTATTGTAAATACATTTAGAAAGTTATTGTTTTCTAACTTTTTGAATATTTTTGATAAGATTCATAAATGAATAAGAGTGCATTGAAAAGTTAAAAATATGCAAATATACAAGAATTTGGAACAGAAACGATCTATTATATATGAGAAACAAGAGTAAAAGAATTCTACATTGAAGGAAATTGGTGTTTATATTTTTTATTTTATAGTATTTAGTATAGTAACATTTGTATATTTCAAAATATTTTATAGTATTATGTTTATTTAATCACACTGAACTGATTTTTAAAGTTACAAGCGAAACATAATACTTCCCAAGTATTTTCAGACCTGAAAAGACCATATTGTGGGATAGTCACAAGCATAAAATTTCTTGGAAGAAAAAATTTTGAAATGTTTTATATTATTATTGTTTTATTTGCATTGTTTGTGCTTCATTTTCTTGTAAATTTGTAAAAAGTTAGAAAGTTACAACTCACAGACCTTCTTCTACACCTTCTATACTTATTCCAGCAGGTATGTTTATTGGAAAAAGCAAATGTTTTTGGTCACTTTCAGAGATTTTTGTCAGATTATTATACACTATTTTTTTGTTGCCTGTCACTGGTTGTTGTGTACATAGTTTATAAATTTATTATGTTATATTTAAATTTGAATATTGTCATGTTTCATATAGAATATTCCATTTGGAATTTTTTTGATCAATTGCACTCAATTTATGGAACATATAAAGGTCTCTGAAAGTGACCAAAAGTGTTCAATTTTTTCCAATAAACATACCTTCTGGAATAAATACAGAAGGTGTCTGTGAGTTATATTATTTTCCAGCTTTTGGTGGTGTTTCAGTTAGGCTGTTTTCTTGAGTTTACTGCTTGTTTACTTTTTGCTGAAAAAATTATTAGTCAAACATAATTTACATTTCTTGTATGTAGAATGTAAAGAAAAATTTTTGACACTTTTTATTGTCATAACAAAATCACTCTGTTGTAATTGACATATCATACTGTATCATTGCTGATATGATACATTTATGAAAAATCGGTTGGATATAGTTTGGTTTCTATAATAAATTTCCTTGTTTATATAAAAAATAAGTAAATAAATTAATTATAATTCTTATTTATTTTTATGGAGAGAATATTTTTATTTTCATAATGTTAACTAAAGAATTATTTGATTTTGCAGAAGAAGTAACATGTAGTCCAGATAATTTTCGATGCAAGAATGGACGCTGCATTCCTCGGCGGTGGGTTTGTGACTACCAACGAGATTGTGAAGAAGGTGAAGATGAGCATCAGTCTTGTCGTAAGTATTTTATATTATTGTTCAAATTATTTAAATAAATATTGTTAAAAATTAATACTTTTTTAAAAAAGTAATAACTTTTCCAATATACACAAAATGCTAAAATAAGCAATAACATAAAGAAAGGGATGAAGTAATAAAATGGATAAGTGAATCTTTGTTATACAGTGATAATTATTAAAATTGAAGAATTGTTTTCAACTGCACTAAACAGTTTTTTTTAGATTTCAGACTAACAGAATTCTAATTACAAACAACATTCTAGAATAAGTCATACTGGAAAACTGCACAAAAAATTTAAAATTGATTTGTGGTATTAGATATTTGTAAAACAGTATATCATTTTTTCTTATATTTAACATTACTAATCAATTTTAAACTTATCATGTGATTTTTCAATTTAAATGTATGAATTATTCTAGAACATAACTATTTACAAGTAGAATTTTGTAAGTTTTGAAATTTAAGATTACTACTCAGTGCAATTGAACACATTTTATTACAATTATTAAATTATTGATAGAATAAACAAAAAAAAATTAATACAGGAGTAGCATTTAATGAAAGACTGAAAATGTTGAAAATATATCCAGATATTAAATTCTTAATTAATCAATAGTTCCAGATGCCAAATTTACATCTTATATTATCTTCTTTTTCTTTGTCTTTGCTTTTCCCCATGTTTATATGGTGTCACCATTCCCATCTTTAAAGTGTCTTCCTACTTCTCTCTATCCAGGGCATCCCTCTCCCAAATCCTCTGCTACCTTGTCTTTCCATCTGAGCTTTGGTCCTCCCCACTTTCTCCTTCCTAACACTTCCAACTTCCCAATCCTCTTTAAAATGTAATTTTCACTTCTCTCTACAAATTGTCTTTATCTAGTTTTCTATATCTTTTTACTTATAGGATTCACCTTGACACTTCCTAATTCAGTTCTTCATCACACCACATATCCATCTCACCATTCTCATCTCTGCTGTCTCAATCTTCTTTTCCTGGGCTATTGTAAATACCCACCATTAAATTTCGATTAAATTTACATCTCATATTATATTATACAAATTTAAATTTCAAATTGTTGATAATATCAGATACAGAAAAAAATATTTTTATTTTTCAAATAATACTCTTATATAACTCATAAATGACAATAGATATTATTATTATTATTAGTTTGATATTTCATTACATATTACACAGGCATGGCTTTTATAAATATTTTCAGTTCAGATTTTTATAAATATTTTTATATATTTAATTGTCTGCTTCAAAGATTAATTTATATATAAATTAAAAATATTTACAAAATCAATAAGTATGTTCAATATTTTAGTATATATTTATATTAAAAAAATTCAATGATAAAAAAATTATACAACTATATTTTAATTATATCTTAAATAAACTTATATATGAGAGAATAAATAAGAATGTGTTTAATCAAACATCTTGACAATTAGTGATGAAATATTCAATTATCTGAAGAAACTAATTCATTATTCATGATTTGTGAGGAACTTGTTTATAAATGACTTTTTTTTAGATCCCTTTTCTTATATTGTATTCATGTATTGTATTTTATTATGAATAACATCTACATGCAAAATATTATTTAAAATGGACTAAAATGAAGTTTGTATTGTAACAAAATTCATAAATTCTGTTACCTAATAGAAAATAAAAAATGTGAATTAATTCAGTGAATCAGTTCTCTTTGTTATTATGACGTATGATGTGTTATTCCTTTGGAATTTTTAAGTTATGGTGTATTACTTTAGCTAAAAATGACTAATATAAATGTTTTGAGAATTAATCAGTTTTATTTACAAGTAATAAAATTTGAATTATTTAAAATCTATTATTTTTCATGGTATTTTAATTGAACATCTTGAAATATTTTTCTGTTAATAAAATGTTTAAATATGTTCAACTTGTACTAGTGACTTTTATAATGTTATATATTATTTATGAAGAGAATCTAGTTCAAAGGATTTAGCTTGTTCAATGGTGATAAATTTAGTTTTGATATTACTGATGACCCTCAATTTGAACATACATAGTGATGATTCATTAATATTGATTATTCATTGTATCTGAAGATGGAATAGTTAACTATAAACAGAATTTTATTCAAGATATGAGAAGTGACACAAACATACAGGCAAAATGACACTTTTAAGTACAGTACATGACATTTCCAAGCAAAGATGTAAAGAATAGTTGTCAATGTTTTTTGGAAACAATTGCAATCTGATATTCTCAGATATTATCCTACTTTATTCCAAAAGAGTTCCTGAAACAAGTGGATTTAATACGTAACATTTGAACTTCATCTATATTGGGATATATAATGTCAAAAGTCAACAGTAATTATAATTTCAATCATGCTTTAAATAAATAAGAATTAGAAATATTTCAAGGATATGTTGGTTAAATTTTGTAATAGTTATTCATTCTTTGTAATTATCACTGTCTAAATTGAGAATCTCATTAAAAAACATTCATCAAAAATATCTTTATGCAAAGTATTGTGAAATGTTGACTAATAGTGTTTTGCAAGCTGTTTCTGTTGAAAAGGAAATTATAGAAGAAATGATAAAAGTTAAATTCCCACTAAACAAAAGTGTTGGTACTGGCATATTATCGAAATTAAAAACACAATACAATAGGAAAAACAATTTTTTGCTATCTTTCCTTGTTAGGAAGATTGCATTAGACCAATATGGTAGTGCAGTCATCATCATCAGGAAATATAATAAGGAAAGATAAGAAATCTTGCTTAACAGGAAAACAATTTCTATCTTATATTTTTCTGAATAGGAAAAGCTTTAATTATAATCATCATATAGTAAGACTTCTAATACATTATGCATAACAAGATGTATTTGAATTGCTTGGTTCTTTAGTTTTATGTTTTAGAAAAATAAGGAAATAAAGTTTGCCTTATTAAAAAAAATTAAATTAACTTTTTTTAATACGAAAATCACTATCATTCGATTTTCCAATTACCATTTTTATAAGATTTGCAATCATCCAAATTGGGATACGTTTTTTTGATCATTAAATTTGGCGTACTTTAATTACGTTCATTGTATTTTAATGTTATTTAATAAATTGGGATTAAGCAAAACAGAAATTAATCAATAGATTTACAGAAATAAGAGTTAAAAAAAATTGATTTTAAGAGCAATCTTCAAAGAGAGTGAGCCTTTTCATCTCTGAACAAAAAAACCAATCGTGGATTAAAATTATGTTAAAAATAAGAGATTTTTATAAATCAATTAATTCATATAAAAGTAGAAATCGGATAAAATATTCAAATAAGTAAATACTTTCAGCAGTTTTNTGGTTCTTTAGTTTTATGTTTTAGAAAAATAAGGAAATAAAGTTTGCCTTATTAAAAAAAATTAAATTAACTAAGATGAAAAAATGAAGAATTATTATATTTTATGTAATGAATTTTATATGTGATTAATTATAACTTTAATTTGAAAAAATTTAATTGTTATTTTGGATTATTTTTACTTTTGGACTTTTACTTGAATGGGTTATTCTTTACTCTTGATATAATAGCATATCATTTGATGTTTTATTAATACACATCACAGAAAAATTTAAGTGAAACATAAATAATACCATCGTAAAAACTTATATAGAATGATAATATTTAAGATAATGACAGTATAATGATTGTATAACAAACATTTAGGAGAAAATAATTGAAAGTATTGTTTGTAGCTAAATATTAAATTGATATTTTAAAATATTACACATTAAACTAAAAATACAAATAAACCTGTTATGTAGTTTATTAATTATAAATAAATAAATTTCATTAAAATATTTGCAATTATATCAGGAAATGATACTGACATTGTTCTTAAATCTTAAACATGTTACATTAATAGAAACAGAAAAATTCTAAATGAAAAATTTAGCTTTGAAATTTTGGATTTTTTATTAACTTACAATGAATTCTTAATGAAAAAACATAATATCATCATATTTATGAAAATACTTATATAAATTTTTTATTTATATTAAATAATAGTTGATATTTTAATTTTTAAGAATATACTGTTATATTGATTATAAAAGTATATTAATTAATATTTTCAGCACCACCTCAGTGCAATACAAATCAATTCTCATGTGGCCAATATGTATTTAATCAGTCATATTGTATTCCTCGTCATTGGCGATGTGATAGGGTGGTTGATTGCGTGGATGGTACTGATGAGGGTGAGAACTGTGGTAAGTGAGATGCAAAATTGTTTTGTGCAAGATTTGCCTTGACAGATATCAAAATCTTAAAAGACAGTAAATTCTAATTGTTGTATATAGCAGTTAGGGTGGTTTTTGCAGTACGATTCTGACTTCTAAAGCTAGGAAAATAAATTATTAAAAAATTTATTCAGAAGAATTATTAAATTTTATAATTGTTATTATTAAAAATAAATAAATAATACCATAATAGGTTTAAGTCTAAGTATACAGTTTACACAGAATATCTCTCAGTTTTTTATTTTATTTTCTTATTTAATACTTATAATGATTAATAAATATCTACTTTAAAAAAAAAAACTGATGAAAAACATTGATGAGAATTATTTTTGGAATTTCTCTTGTTCTATTGCCAAATTGGACTATGAAATAAAAGAAGAAAGCTTAGTATAAGAGAACTCGAACAGGTTCTTGAATAAATTTTAAATTTGAAGTTTTGTTTTTTTTATGAAATTTTTAAAGATAGCTCAAACTTTTTAAGTTTCTTTAAGTTCCTTTTTAAGTAGTCTATGCATGCTTTCAATATAAAAATGAATTTTAGATCTTTGCAAAATAGTGGGCTTTTATAAACTTTTGCATTTTTACTATATTATCTTTCTCTAAATTTCTAACTGGCTAGATAGATATAATATTGATTTCTTATTAAATAGAATTATAAATAAGAAAACATCAGTTTACAGCAAAGAGGTCTTGAAATTTATTGTATGTAGATTAAAGATTTTAATACTTTTGGGTCTTTTCCTCAAAATCTGAGGAAAAGACCCAAAAGTATTAAAATTCTTTTGTTTTTGATCTGAATATAGTATTACGTGCTTCAAAAACATTAATACAGAATAAATTTTAAGATCATTTTATTGTCTTTAATTGTGATTTTCGTTTTTTACAAATAGATAAACATACACGTGTTTTGATTTTTAAATTCTTATTAGACATAATTCTCTTCACAACTATACAAAGTTGAAATTTTAATAAACTTGGTTGGATTGATTTTCTTGATAAAATTGGATTTTAGCTTTTTTCTAAATTCAAAAGAACTCTTCATTTTAATTGACATAATACTATTAAATTTTAAATAAGTTTCTTTTATGACATTAACCTTGTTGAAAAGCCAACCTGGTAAGATCTTTAGTTTTGATAAGTTAACTCATCTTCAATAATTCTTTTTGTGTATAGACATTAGAAAGCCCTTTTAATTACACTATTAAAAAATCAAAGCTTGAAAACAGGTTCTTGGAACTTGCATGAATATAAGAAGCTACGTGGGTGGGCTTTCTGAACACAGGAATGTTTTTTTTTTTTTTTTTAAATTACAGGTAAACATAAAATAGTTTTCTATTCCATCTTCACAAATAGAAACAACATATAATTAATTGTATTTTTATTGAATGAATAGTTTTTAAGATGTTTTTGAAGATGTTAATTATAAAAATAGAATAAAGATGTATTTTAAATATTATAATTTAGATGTAATATAGACATATAAAATAAAAGAAAATAAAGAAAAGAAGAAATGCATATTTTTTCTTGCAAGAAAACATTTACAGTATGTTTTAAGAGATTTAAACAGTCTGATCTAAATGAGTAACTAAAATGATTATGATACTGAAACTTCTTTAGGAGTTTTATTCCTTATTAGTTCATTAGACAATACCAGAGAAAGCTAAAGTGAGTGTTCTCTTTAGTTTTTTAATATGAGATGATAATATCTCAGAAAATGTTTTAAATTTTAACTTTAGCTTTCTTAGTTTGGATTATTTATTTAGACCAAACCATGAAACAAGTTCTCTAAATATTTTTAAAGTTCAAATCTTCCTTAAATTATCACAAGACACTTTGTATTATATGTTAATAACTAAACATCTATAATCCAGATGGTATTCTTGCTATAATTAAGCTGTTGTTAAATAATCTAAGATAGCAACATAACTACCAACATTTAGACCAAATAATGCAACTTGATTATTTAATAATTAGCTTATTGTTTGAATATAATTTGGTTTTGGATATTTGACTGTTAAAAAATTAGGATTTGATTGATTGTTTATATGTTAATATTTTAACTTAAAATGATGAAATGAATTAATGTAATATATCTAGGTATATTTTAGTAATCTGTTTATGTGAGGAGTGTGTTTATATAGTGAATAATATAAAATTGAGTATTATATTTAAAATATGTAAATATTTTGAATAATGTTTAGTTTGTTTTTAAATTTTTTCAAATTAAAAAGAAAATAATTTTAAAAACAACAATTTATGTAACTAATTTTGTTGCATTGGTTCTTTTTTCATTATTTGTTTGAATTTAGATGTATGAGGCATAGTTTGATATTATTATTATTATTATTATTATTTCATGCTTTGAAAACATTTAGAATAAAATTTAAGCACTGTTATAAATTCTTATATGAGTGACTTTTATTTGTTTCCTATCAAAATATTGACAATATAGAATAGAACAGATGACTAAAATAGTAGTATTTTATAATCAGAGCAGAACAGTAAACAAATTTAAAGCAGAACTGTAAAATATATTACATTTTTTAGTCTGTTTGGCAGGCATTCCTTATATTTTGCCTTTAAAATCTATTTTATTATATGTTATTTATTACTTTTACATGATATATTAAATTTACCAAAATAAAAATAACAATGTAAAATCACTTACATTTTATTTTGAAATTTAGATTTTATTCATGTATTTATTTAATGCAATTATTGTAAATGTATTATATTGAAAATAATTTTTCATATGTCAGAAAATTTATATTTGTCTCATAATAAATGTATTTATATTCTTAAAAAAAAAAAAAAGAATAAACAAAACTTATTTATATTTGTTTAAAACGATTAAAGAAGTCATTATTTAAATTCTTGTTTACCACAAAGTAAAGAATTTTACCATAAATATTAAATATTTTATTTATTTATTTTTTGATTTAATGAACAAATATTTAACTTACGTAAAATTGCTTTTGAAATATTATCCAAATCGACCTTGATAAGAAAGTTTAGTTTTTATGGCTGATTGTCTATCAAGTTATTTCTGGTTATTCTATTTTTATGATTTAATAGTTGTTCAGTTTGTGTGAATTAACATTTTTTTTGAGAGAAAATAAAAGAAACAAAAGACGCCTTTGTCATGGTTACAGTATTTGACAAAGGAAGATAAATATTGACTGTTGCTGAAACAGCTGTCCTGTTTTGTTGAGTTTAGCAAATTATTGTCTAAATATTTTGTGCATGATTACATCTGTAACTCTATTACAAGTATTAAAGCTTTTGTATTATTTAAAGATATAAATTTTATTTATATTACATTAGTACATTGATAAAATATTTTTCTATTTTAGATTATAGACAATGTTTAGCTTCTGATCATAAGTGTATAAGTGGATTATGTATTCCTGAAAGTCAAAAATGTGATGGATATTATAACTGTAGAGAAGAAAGTGATGAAAAAAATTGTTCACACAGTAAGTCAGATATTTTCTATAGTATTGTTATTATATTCAAAGAGTTTTTAATATTGGGAACAACATGTAAAGAATTCTTCAATTAAGAATTTTAATATTTATGAACAATGAAATTAAGATTTTTGAATTGTATCAATACTTACTGTATTTTCCTGAAAATATGACCTAATTGGAAAATAAGCCATAGCATGATTTTTCAGGATGCTTGTAATATAAGCCCCAGTTAAGATCATCAGCCAGAAGGTCGTATTTAATATGCCCGTTGCAACCCACAACAAACATTTTGAATTATAAAATAATAATATATAATTAAATATAAATAAATATTATTATTGACATTAATTCTTAAAATAAATGATAATATATATTATAATAAAGTATTTATAAATACCAAGAGAGCACCTTTGGACGAGATATCCCCTGAAAATAAAACCTGAAGTGTCTTTTGGAGCAAAAATTAATATATGACCCAGTCTTATTTTTGGGTAAACACAGTATTAAAGCAAAAATAAGATCTAATTCCATTTCTATTGTTTACGTGAGGCAAAACATTTTATAAAATTTTATACAAATTTCTTTCAGATGATCATTGCAAATTTATTTTCCTTATATCTAATAAATGTAACAAACATTTATTACATCATTTCCCAATAACATAATGAAAAAACACAAGTTTTGATCTGCCAAAATATAAGAAAAAAATTATATAATTTAGTGCAAGATTACAGTTGTGATCCAGTAGTGTTTGGTTTTTGTTTGTTGATGTTGTTATTGCAGAAATTACAAATTGTTTACAAACAAGCATTGTAATATGAACAGTTGTTGAGAGATTATATTTGTGGTTTCTCTTGATCAAACTGAATTCATAAATGAATTATACAGGTTTATGTATGTCATCTACACACTCATTCAAGAGTTAAATATCAAAACAGAAATGTATAACTTATATTTTGACATATTTTTAGGATTGAATGTTTTATAGTTTTGCCATAACACAACTCTAGACTTAAAGTTGCAAAAATCTAAACATTCAGAAAATGTCGCATTTTTTTTTTAAACATAAACTTGTTAATTATTGTTACTATTTTGCTTATTTAAATTTTATATTATTAGTTATGTTAATAATTATATTAATTTAATTTACTTCAGATGGAACAGCTTGCAGACTGAATGAGTTTCGATGTGTAAATGGTGATAAGTGTATAGACGAAAATAAGAAATGTGATCACTGGAATGATTGTGGAGATAACTCTGATGAAGAAGGATGCGGTATATAAACTTTAATATATTAATACTAAATATATGATATTTATTTTTTGCTTTTTAAAATTAAATATATAAATTGTATTATTAGTAGGAATTAAATAAAATATTTTTTGGATCATATTTGTTATATATTAAGAATTCAATTATTTGTGTAGAATTTAAAACTCTAATTAATGATATTTTTTCACCTTCAAAGAATAATTGTAATCTATAACAGAACACACTATTGTTTTCCCAATTAATTTTTTGATCTTTTTATTTGTTTCTTTAATTAACAGAATTCGTTATGTTAAGTGTTTGGAATTTAATAAAGAGTTTTAAGAAAAAAAAATTTTTAATAGAATTTTTGATATGTAATTGTTTTAATTTAATTATAAGATTTTTTTTTACACTTTCTCAACAATAGGTTTTTTTTTCTGTAGAAGTTTTCTCATAGATTTTTAATTTCAAATTATTTTTTATCATTAAGAATAAAATAATATAATTAATTGTTGAATTAATATTCATCTATATTAAGATAAATAAAATAATTATTTTTAGACTTTCCTCCATGTCATGATGGTCAGTTCAGATGTGCTAATGCTATTTGTATTCCTCTACGATGGAGGTGTGATGGACATGCTGACTGCACAGATCAATCAGATGAAGCCAACTGTAGTAAGTTAACATTCTTTTATATTAATTTTGCCAAAAAACATATCTATATAATATACAAAAATATGATACGGACAACAGAAAATAGAAATATACTCTCACAGCTAACAATTTGTTTGCATTAGTAATAATTTCTTGATATATCTGCAATAAAAATTAATAAATAAAAGATAATAAGTTAGAATTTATTAGCTAATTCTTCCAAATAAACTTAAATTGTGATATGATATCATTTAAATCAAATTTATAGTTCTTTTTAAAATATTATATTGATAATTAATTCTTTAGAATATATATAATGAAATTAACCTAAGGCAACATTGGAAGAAAAGTTGAATCAGGAGATAAATGTGGGTATGTCATGTAAGAATAGAATGCTGCAGTGTCACAGCCTGCAAGAACATACTGTTCTGAACTTAAGTAAAGTGGGAAAAGCAAACAAGCAGAAAAGCAAATGCACTAACTGTGTGACATAAGGGCAACAAGGATTTAAAAGCCTATTATTCATGAAAGATGTCAGTACTGATGACTGAAATTTGCAGATAGTGGTTTATCTGGTCTAAACAAACAGCATATGGGCTGGAACATTGATGTGTGATTCTGTTAGGTTTTTATGATATCATAATGAGAATAATATTTTTATCATTTAATTGATTTGTATTATAATGTTTATAGATTAATTAATTAGACTTCTTTGAAAAGAGAGTTTAAATATAATTAATTTAATAAATTAAAAATTAATTAATTTCAGCTCTCATTACTTGTCCGGATACCAAATTTCTTTGCCCAACAGAGAAACAATGCATTGATAAGGAAAAAATGTGTGATGGACACAAAGATTGCCAAGATGGTGCAGATGAACGAGATGCATGCTGTAAGTAGCAATTGATTATAGTAATTATTACATAGTTGTAAAAAAACTTAAGAGTGTTATATCATTACTTTGCATCTAAAATAAAGTTAATGAAATTACACTGAGTTAAAAAAATTTTCTGGAAATTGTTTTATTGATAATAAATTAATATATAATGCATTTTCACATTAAAATGAATTTTGTTAATCCCATTTTTTGTCATTTGTTTTGATTTTAGTTATAGTATTATTATTGGAGTTTATTTAAAATTAAAATAAAGAGATTATAGAAGCTACGTAGATTATAGAGCTTACGTATATTCTATTTTTAGAAAAAAATTATATACAAGGATATATGAAAATTTTTTGTAACAAAAAATTTATGTAGGTTACTAGAAAGTTAAATAAATAAACAATTTCAAATTATTTTTCAGCTAATGGACTATAATTGAAATACTTCAGCAATAAGTTAATTTTTATTTGAGTAATTATTTTATCATAATATTGAATTTCTTGTTGCTTGTATTTCAAAGTCATTATATTTCCAATTTTACAAAATAATAGTTAACTAGAACCAATGAATCAAGCTTATTACACTCTCAAATTTAAGTAATTCTTTCTTTGTCCAATACTCTTTTCAATTGGATTTTACAATTGATAAAAGCAATTCTAATCCCAATAGCAAATTGCTATTATCATTTATAAAATCTAATTGAAAAGTCACATAGGCTGAAATGAATGTTGGACAAAGAAAGAGTAAATTTGATGAGAGTGTAATAAGCTTGATTTATTGGTTCTAGTTAACTACTATTTTGTAAAATTAGTAATACAGGCAAGAAACTTTTTAATAGATTATATTTCCAGCTTGAATTTTCTGATTTTGTTGCTGGCACAATTTATAAATAATAAACTTTACAAAACATAGTTTAATTTTTTGGTTCAATTATATGTTCAATCAATTTATAGTGAGATATTTCTAATCATTTTTTTTCTTAGCCTTTAAAAGGTTTGTAAGCACTTTTCTGCTTGTATAATTTATTGCCAGACACTGCAGTTAGACCTTTACTCTCAATTTTCTTCTTTGACTAGCTTTTCAAGACTCATTTTATCAGTATCTAACAATATTCTTTTACGCCTTTCTTTATATCTTGAGATTATTTTTGTTGGTTCTATTTTCAGTGTTATGTCATCTTCCATTTTCTAACATGTTTACCCCATTTGAGTTGGTTTGCTTTCATAATATTTGTGATTAGCATCTTATTATACAGGTTCTATATTTTACAGTAATACTTTCTTTGCCATTCATTACTTGCATTAGTTTTTACTAGGCTGAAAATTTTGTGGAGTATCCTGTTTTTAGACATTTGTAATTTCTGTTTCTCCTTCCCAAGCTCTATGTTCCAAACTTCTTCCAAGTTCTATGTTTTATGTACTGTATGTACAATACCACAGGAAGAATCATTGTGTCCTGTACAAATGTATTTTTACATTGCGAGAAATTGATTTTGATAGAATTTTGTTTAGTGCAAACATCATATGACTAGCATTAACTCTAACTTATGTTTTATCATTTAGCCTATTATCTATGGTAAGATTGAATCATAGTTATTTGAAACTCTAAGCTTCTTTAAAATTGAGTACCTTGGATATTCCTATTTACTATTGCTACATCAAAATAGGTACACTTTACTGGATGTCTTGCCTTGACATAATGGTGGGACTTGTGTGTCCCAGTGACCCTGAGATCTACACTGGCTGTAGTTTTAATACTGATAGTCTCCCAAGTCAATCAGGTCAATGGTAAAATGAACCAGACGAAATGAGATAGGACTGGTCCTCTGAATTGGGGATTGTGCTAATAACTTTGGGCTTTGTGCTGGGGCTAATTCTTTATCATATAAAAAGCAGACTGTTATGAAATATACAAGTTTTTAATGGAATACAAGCCAGGAATGATTTCTAATTATTACTAGTATAAACTATTAAATTATATAGAACTTTTATGAAAATCTGTATTTGTAATATTTTTTTCTTATAAATTTCATAACAATTTGAAACATTTTCTATTACCATTTTGATTTATTGGAAATATAAATTTTTTCAAAAATATTCTTTAATTGTAAATCAAAATTACTTTAAATCATAGTTAATGCTTATTATTACTATAAAAAATATTTGAAAACTTTTCATTCTTTGAATAATTTTACTTTCTTAATTCATCTAATAGTATCTCTACAAACCAGTCATTTTCTCATAATTTTGAGTAATATAGAACATGAAAATATGTCATTGTTTCAATAGAGGATGATGACTTTTGCTTTAAAGTATATTTTTTTATTAAAAATGCAATTAAAATCTAATTTCAGTTATTTTTTTTTGGTTAATTCACTAAACAAAAAAGTTTATACAGACTTAGATTATATCTCAATTGTATGAGTGAAGGATAATAAAGTTATTTTCTCTTTCTTTTTTTCTTTTTTTATTTTTTAAATTCTTCCCTTGTCAAGTTTTTCAGTTGTTGTTGTGAAGAGAAATTACTTTTTCAAATTGTATTGGTCATAAACCTGAAATTACCTTCAATAATGAGATTTAATATATAGCATAGATATATTCTTTTTACATCTGTAAAATGACTGAAATATTTTTTGTTTCTAGGTGTTGTTGTAAAAGAATGTTTTATGATCATTTTAAATATTATACTTTATTTTTCTTTGAGGCATTACAGATGCATTTTAAACTTTATTTTTAAATCTTGAAATGTAGAATATTATAAAGTATGATGGAATTAATTTTGTATATATAAAGCTACATTAATTTCACTAAATCACTCATTAACATGAAATATTTGAGTGGAAACAGATTTATTACAAAAAAGTGAATGTTTCAGTGAAAATATATTTGTTACCAGAAAAATCCAAAATATAAAAAAAATATTTTATAGTTTAAAAGGCATCAAAATTTAACATTGGATGTTTATCAAATGAAATGATATACATGAACAAAACATTTTATGCATCATTTGCATACTTTAAAAAATTTAGAACTATTCATTTTCTTGCATTATTTTAAATTACAATATTTTTCACTGTTTTATTAGTATTAAATTTTTTAATCAAATGTTTTTATACATAGATTAAATACTATATAAAACTGATAATTTTTATAAAGAATTGTTATTAATTACAAAAATATGAGGTAAATGTTATAAACTGACAGGAAGTGCTTCTGGGATTGGATTTTCAAAAGCAGTTACTAGCTAAGCTGCTAATATATTACAGTGAAACCTCTATTAATGGACACTCCTGAATAGTGGACACCTCTACATTTTTACAATTCCCAAACCTTTCAAATAGGACATATTATATTCATTTCTAAATAGCATACACTCTAAATAATGGACGTTGTCATCCATAACCTACCTTAGTCTTACAGAATGTCCACCTTCAATATTCTGAAATAATTAATTATGTACGAAATATTTTAAAACTAAACAAAGAATTGGTTCAAATACTCTTTCAGAGGATGAGCTTTGACTGTAGCTGTTAAATAAAGACTGGCTTAAAATAGGAATAGTGTAGGAGGGCAGGTTGTAAAAGCCAAACAATATTTATTATCTGTTAGAGAAGACTAATCTGGTCAATTACCATTTACCATTGTCACACATTAATGTTGTTAAACTTCTATCTTTATTGTTGGAATTAAGCTTATGGTATCAAGAAACAATAAACTTTTCTGAAGTTATTCGTTCATTCAATAAGAACTGTAGTACAGTAATAACAAAAAAGAAACTGTTTTAAGGTTAAGACAACAGCATTTATTTGATGAAAAGTTCAAAGATGTGTTATGAAGGTGATTTGCTGACCACTTTAAAGTGTAGGAAGATATTCGGTTTTCTCAAATTTATGACATTATTTATGATCTTAACAGCTTTGTGGTGGCTAAAGTAATTTTTAATAAATCATTTATTGAAAGAAGCAAAAATGTTTGAAAAGTTATACCTACTTGATAACTATGAAGTTGACAAATCACTATATCAATTTCTATTAGTCTCTTAGATCATAAATGATGTTATGAATGCAAGAATACTGAATACATTTCATACTTCTTAAAGTGGCTAGCAAATTGTCTTTGTAACTTGACATTCAAACTCTCATTGCCTAAATCCTTCTGTTCATAATAACAGTTTCAGTTTTTTTTTCATTACTTTCACTCAGGTCCATTTTTTTAAAGAATTTATAATTTCTATAATCATAATTTTTATGTTCCATTGAATTAAAGTATTCTATTATAGTCTGTTTGCTATTTAGAATTAAATTCAAATGTGATTTTTACAGCTGAAAATATAAATAATAATAATATATATATATATTATATTATTTATATTTTATAAATATATAT